TGAATTCTTTTGTAAATGATATCTTTGAACGAATAGCTGGTGAAGCGTCAAAACTCGCAGCTTACAACAAAAGATCAACCATTTCGTCTCGTGAGATTCAAACGGCTGTAAGACTTATTCTTCCGGGTGAATTGGCAAAACATGCAGTGTCTGAAGGAACCAAAGCTGTGACAAAATACACAAGTGCTAAATGATTCGTTATAAATATTATGGTTTTTTGCATGAATGATTTTATTACTTGTGATACCCTTTTTAACTATTATTATTATCATTAGGGGTTTTTATCCTTTTATTTTTGTTTTTTTTTTTTACAATGATTAGTTTTATTTTCTAGCTGTTAATTTAGCAATTTGTTAATATAGCCTTTAAATATATAAATATACATAAACATATTATCTAATAAATAAAATTTTTAAAAATTTGGATAAAATTAAAAAAAATATTTTTTACTTATTCAATTATAATTTTATTTATATGTTTATTTATTTTTTTGTTTGTAAAACTAACAATAATAAATCATTGTTTTTTTTTTATTCCTTTTTTAAAATATTTTACCAAAATAATAATTTCATTTTGGAAAGAAAATTAAAACTGGCAAGATAATTCTTTATTTATATTATTTATATTATTATTTTAATATTTTAGTTTTTAGATTGGATATTTTCTTGGAGAATAATGATTGTTTATCTATCCATTCTTGATTTATTTTTGGATGAAAAGCCTCGCATTACCATCAAAGCCTTGATTACAAAAAACAAAATCATTATTAATTGAAATTTTATTTTTGAACCAGAAGAAGATTCCACACAATTATAAAATCATGGTCTGATACTATTGATGGTGCTATCAGATAAACAACAATAACAATATATACCTTTTAAGAAAATAATGCTTGTAATTAATATATTAAAAAATCAAACCATTTTAAGTTTTGTGAATCCTTTCAGTGGTTTAAAAAACTATGAAACTATTCAAAAACTTGAATTAGGATCATATGATGCTACTGCAAGTGTTAATGGAACTGTTTACGAAGCTATTAACGATCTTTTGGGATGTAAAAATTATAAAAGAGATATTCCTATTGGTGTAAGTCCTGGTATCTATTTATTGAAGGCAATGGTAATGCTTTAACATGATGAATCGTTAGGTTTAGATTCTGCATATTCTGCTCTTATTGTTATTAAAGGTAATAAATCTTTTAATAAAATTATTAACAATTAAATTTGTTTCGTGTATATAATATATCTATTATCTACTATTTATTATTTGGCAGATAATGAAACATTGATGTTTGTTCAGTTGGGTAAAAAAGATGTTCGGAATAGTTGAAGATTGCAATTTAGGAACCGAAAATATGAGACATTGTGGCTTTTTTTTTAATCAAAATAAATATGGTATATATATTATTATTTGGAAAGATTTTTAAAAAAAAATACTTGAACAATATTAGCATATTAATAGATGGATGAGCAATCTTTGTTGATTCGACGCAAATAATTCTACAAGGCTGTAGATATAAAGTGTGAATTCACTATTAAAATTGCAGGAAAGACAAAGCAGATAATCAAATCATCAAAATTCTTATAAATTACCACCACCAACACTGCAGCTATCATCATCATAGTTGATAAAATATGGAAGTGTAATAATGAAACACCTAAATATTGGAAAATAATCAGAGATGATTTATTTATGTCATTTTTGCTAGTAAAGTTCCCTTTGGCTTTATCTGGTGATGGTCTATTAAATTTAATGTTTATAAAATGAGATGTTGTCAACAAGAAAAATGCTCCTGATGTTCTTTTTAGTGTGGACATTTTGATTAAAGGCGTAGATTATCAAAATGAAAATATATAAGTATTTATTTAATTCGTTGTTTTTAAACACACATTCATCAAATCGATTATATGTTAAAATTACAGGTTGAATGTTGTAAAGTTAAAGCTTTTAGATTAAAAATCATATTGGTTATTTATATTATTAGTATTGATGGTGAATCATTTAAATTTGAACATTCCAAGTAGAAGTTCATCCTTAATTGATCAATATAGTTGGAATGGAAGGAAAATATTAATCTAATAATCTTTGAAAGTTGAGCTGAGAGAGTTAAAGAAAAAGCAGAATAATAGAATCAAAGCTTAAGACTTAAGCTTCATTTTTATCTGTATCATAGAATTTTGAGATTCAAGGTCAGAATGATCATTCACCAAAGTTACAACTGGTACATCCAAATTAACAGCCAAAGAAATTGCTCCAACGTAAAAAAAAATATGAATAGTTGTCTCCTAGTCAAAGATATGTATCCTCTCCTGATGGTACAGTCGAAAGAAAATCTGTGGCAAGTTGAATCTGAATTTTGGAGTATAACTATTAATGATAATTAACAAGAGAAAAGTTCTGATACGTTCATAAAATTTTGTATTGTATGTCTGCCTATGAAATGACATGCTAAAATTTCCATTATTGCATGTTCCGCATGCAATAACTCGTATATGTATCCTTGCCTCTTGTACTCCAAAGGAGGGACGTTAAATAAATAAAGCTTTAACTTCAGAGATGTCTGCTTTCCTAGTTTTCAATAGATTGAATTCGGTCAAAGCCCGTTGGCAACCTCTCGAGTTTTGACAACATTAGGATCGGACGCTTCAAAAGAAAATGTTGAAATTCCTGTGTGCCTGGTAGTTTCTTAAAATAAATTCCTAAAATGGGTTTAATATCTGATACCAAGTGTTGAAAACTAAGGCTCCGAGCGAATCAATGAAATTCGAAACATCTAATTTTTGATTCGTTTCACTCGAATCTTTGGTTTGACTCGGTCCGAAATATATACCAATATGAAATAATTTGAATTCTGGATAATTTTAAAAGAGTTGCCTTTGGAATAATAAATGGCTTCGAAAATATTTATTGGTTATCGTCATTATTAATATATATAGAAATACCCACTAATAAATAACTTCAATAATAATCAAAAATGCAAACTGCAAAATTGCGTGCACCTAAGACTTTAGGCCTCGACTTTAACGGTTTACTTTTTTTATAAGTTTCCTAGTGAATTTATTTTTCAAAATGGAAAACAAAAGATGTTGTTAATAAAATGATATCTTCATCAACCGATTCATAGATGGAAGCAATTTAACAACAAAATCTCTCCATTACATTAAAGCTAGATTCCACTAACAAAGCTATTTTTTTAAAAGGTGGGAGGTCTTTAGACCACTCATACTATATGTGAAATTAGGTAGAGAAACTCCATCCAGTGAGTGTATGTATACATTAATATATACATCATTTTAGTCTCTAGGGAAACCTGTTCTATGCAATAACAGGCAGAAAGTAATGCTTTTAAAGGCCATACAAAATTTATTAGGTTCCGAGCTCTTAATCATGAGATTTATGGCACCTCCCTGCCTGATACGCGATTAGTTTCGTGTAATAGTAATAGTAAAATCCCTTTTTTTGTATATTGAAATTATAAATAACAAACATGTAGTTTTTTTAATGCCACAGTCCTATCTTCAATAGTTCTTTCATCACCACTATTTGTATATTTTGAACCATTTAATCAAGTAGCTTTGGATATAGTTGCAAATCCACCTTCACCTATCTTTTCAATATTTGTTAAATTGTTATAAGGAATCCATTGAAGATAATAAAAATTATCATACATGTCAGAACAACAACAGCTTCGCTCAACTCAACCACCTACTGAGGAAAAAATAACAACAACAATGATAAAAAATAAAATAATAATGATAGTGACATCAAACAAATTGACGAACATATTAATATCAAAGTTGTTGGAAGCGTAAGTTACCTTTGGTGTATATGCTATGCTAAGCTAAAAGAGTTATGAATAAGAACACGAGTAAAAAGATAAGCTCATTAAAAATGATGTGTATTAGCGTCTATTATTTTATATTTGATTATATTGCATGCTAATTATAAATTGCTTTTTTTATCATTATCGGATCATAATGAAGTATTTTTCAGGATTAAAAGAACAACACAATTAAAAAAACTTATGGATGCTCATTGTGATATACAAGGAAAATCTTCATTGTCACTTAGGTTTCTTTATGATGGTGATCGTATACAAAGCCATAATACGCCTGCAGATGTATGTATTTGAATCTTTCTTAAAGAATCGATTATTTCATTATTTATTGGAATATTATATCTTCTTTTCCTAAATAATTAGTTGGGTATGGAAAATGGCGATTCCATTATGTTATGGTGGTAATAAGAAATCAAAATCATTATGTTATATGTGTGTGTATATACATTAATTTATAATCGTAGGTAGAGAATTCTTAATATAAATTGAATCGTTCGTTATGCATACCATTCACATATATAACATACAAAATTTTTTTTATATTCAACATATTCAACTCTCAAATTATACGTTGAATGAAATCATTTTTATTGTCATTATAAAATTAACATCAAAGTCACTTAGTCGCTCCATATTTTACATAATTGTAGATTTCAATTTCAATGATATAGAATATTTATTGTGTTAAAAAGTTCAGTATTTGGGTGTGAAATCCCTTTAGATTGGTTAATTTTCACTTGTTCGTTGTGTCGCGTGGTTAGGAACTACATCCAAAACCCCGTTCTTTATTTGATTAGATAGAAAAATGACTACCTTGTAATTATTATTATTATTATTATTATATATACTAAAAAGGGGGCCGGTAAGAGGCACACTTGATGTATTAGTATGTAATGAATGATCTCAAATTTGTATAATATTAATGCTATTTATTTTCTTGGATATAAAATGCGGATATTTAGTTGAAAGACAAATTATTATTTTATATATTTATAGTTTTACTGATGAGTAAAATTTGATCATTAATTAATCCTGCCATAAGCACCTGGTAGGCTCACTCTTTTTATTCTGATTCATATTTGTTTATTTTTGAAAACTTGCATTTATTATTTCCCAATTTCATTTAACTCGACCTGTGTGTAGTTGTGAGGGATTATAACTTTTATTGATTTCCATTCATATTATAAAGAAAACACAAAAAACTGAAATCTGAAGTTCTTTCTTCACAAACTCCCAAATCTTCATTTTCAACGAACTCATTATCATCTGTTATTTCCATTACTTCCACAATAAAATGTTATCAACTCGCGCAGTTTATAATGATTAATGATGAAAGCGATGAGATTATCAATTTAGCTGATTATTATCCACAAATGGATGAAGAATGTGCCAAAATGGATCCTTTTCAATGAAAACAAAACAAAAATGCAGTTTTGAATTAATAACACCATTAGATGCAATTCTCCGTGTAGAAATTTTTTTGGTTATATGGTAATTCCGAAATTTTTTTTCTTTAAAGTTTCAAAATGCAGATCTTGTTTTAAATCGAGTATGGTTCATTTCCCCCAAATGTCAACAGGATGACGTAGAAAGTTTAATAGGTGAATGTGATAATGAAGAACTGAGAAATGCATTGCAAGGTTTTACGAACTTTGTTGGTAAATGATATAGAGAATTTTGACGGTGTTGATGGTAGATTAATAATAATATAATGAGTGGTAATAAAATCTGCAAGTTACCAAGTGAATCCAATGGTGATTCATTTAAGGTAAAAGTAATCAGACTATTAATAATTTACGATCAAGTTTCCACGTATCTGTCTATCTATTTATTCTTTTTCATTATCTATATCATTATTATAATTTTTATTTAATTTAATTTAATTTTTAATTAATCATTATAATTTTTAATAAAAATTTTTTTTACTTTTGAAACTAAATTTGATTTCAAATTTAACCACTTACTCACTATTTAAATTTAATCGACTAAAACTTCCATTGGCATCATGTATATTCACTAAATTACTATTCCCTCTTAGATTTCCCTTTGCTGTTAACCCTGAAGACGACAATAAACCAACCACATTAGGATTGGTATTAATATTGCTATTGCTAATTCTGTTGCTATTATTTGTGTTATTTGCTGGAGATGGTACAATTGTTGCAATTGGTAAGTTACCAACTAAACTTGGTGATACTGCACGTCTTTTAGGATTAAAATATGGTTCAAATCTATCATCTGAAGCTATTAAAATTTTATTAATAGATAAAAATTTTTTAATTTTATATTAAAAGCAATATTTAAAAGTGACAAATAAAATGCTTGTATTTTACCTTTTCGTTTAGAGCGGCCAGATACAGACCATGGTCCAGCCAAGGATGTAGGAGAAGGTGTATCCTGACGAAACTTTTATTTTTTTAAAATAAAACAAAAAATCAACTTGATTCATTTAAATGAAATATTAAATCAGCAACAAACATACTAATATATCAATTTCAGGATTCAATTTAGAAGATGCATAAGGTGGTGGAGAAGGTTGAATATCTCGGAATTTAATCCAATTTACTAAAAATTCCTAAAAATTTTATTGTAATTTAAAAAAAAATTTGTCGGAAAAAAGTCCTTTTGAAAATTTTGAAAAAGAAAATAAAACCTCGGGTAATTTTGCATGATCCATAGAAACATCGTGCTCATTTTTGAGTACTTTAGTAGTCTTGTATTCCTGCTTTATTTCAGTTTCAAATATATCGATGCAACTTGACACACCAACTCCATCTAGTGGAACTGAATCTGGTAATGAAGAAGAATCCAAGTTTGCCTTTTTCCCATTTGTACAAAAATTATTTACATCAACCTCAAGGCCAAATACACCTACAACTCCTCCACCTTGCACCATAAAGACAACCAATTCTCCATTTATTACTACAAATCCTCATCAACGCATAAGAAGAATGAGTTTAGATAGTTCTAACAGTGGAACACATGTC